ATTTGTTGATAAGATTCATCTATTTGGACTTTGTGAACAAACCAATTAGAAAAATTTATGGAAAAGTACATTCTATAATTTTGGGTAAGTCATGAGAATAGAACTGCATAGATCCATTTTAAGTTTGTTTAACTTTGTAAGAAGCTGTTGAACTGCTTCCTCTTATATCATGTTGACAGATCCAGATGCTCTCTTCCTTCCTAGGCTTCTTCCCTTCTTCAGCTCTTTATGTAAATATCAGCATAGCTGTGTTTTTAATTTGCATGTCCCGAATGAGTAATGATGCAGGGTAAAAGATTTTGTGTTCTTTTATTCTGTCCATGTGATGAATTGCATTGATGAATTTCAGAATATTAAAAATTCCTGGCATAAACTTGAAGGTTAAGTTGATTTCCTAATATTTCATTAGTTTTCTGTTTTTTTTGTAAAGTTAGCACAAATTTCATGATTTATAAGTAATCAGTTTTATCATAATATTTTTGATATATTTTGATTTTCAAATAATCCTTTTTTTCTAGTTTTGGTATCAGAGTAGTGTGCTTTTGTCATGATTCTGGAAATACTATGAAGAGTGCTTGTTTTTAATAAATGGAAGGAAATTCTCAGTGGAGCCATTTGTTCTTAATTATTTTAATAAAACTTTTATAGTATAGACCCATTTTTAAAGAAAATTAATACCACTTAGGTTTTTAAAATTAATTTTGCATATGGAATTATTATTTCAGGCTTTCATCAAAGTGTTTACTCAATACATGCATTCTGCTTTACTCTCATTTACTTACTCAGCCCTCCAACACACTTTTTAAAATCCATGCATCTGATGAATATGAATATTTCTTTCTCTCCTATTTATGAGAAGGTAGGTTAGATGACTTGAAAATACTTCAAGCCTTCTGTTTATTTATGTCTGACTGTATAGTTTATAAATCTTATAGGTAGCTTTTGTACTTTTAAAATTTTTTACTGATGTGGTTGCATGCCCTATTGGCTTCTTTATTTTTCCTTTAACTTTTGGTTTAGTTAGCTTGTCTTGGATCTGGTATTATCTCACCCAATCTTATAATAAGAAAGTTTTGTGTTACTTTTGTAGTATGTTTTAAAATGTAGATTATAAGCACATTTCCTATGTGCTAACTCCTCCTCCCTAGACATGGATTCATAGCAATAACTTAATGGTCTGTTGCTTTCTGATTGGATGGATTTATATTTGAAACTAAAATTAGAATCTTGGTCCATAATCTTTAGATTTGACTTCACTTTTATAGTATTCTCTTACAAAGATAAAATGTTCATGATTTCCCGAAGTGAGGCTACCTTTAATAAACAGACACCATGTTTCATCATTTTTAAAATTTCCATTTTTATGCTTTTATCCTTTTCCACCTTAGCTGTTGTAAATGTAATTTCTTTCCCTATTGTAGCACAAATAATAAAAACCCAGAGACAGATATTGTGGTTCAAGATGAAGAACAGAAAAGCAAAGAAGCTAGCCACTAGTTCTTAACCTCTTCCTCAGACCAAAATGGGCAACCCTATCTCCATGAGTTTTCAGAATAGAATGTCTCAGACTGCACTGAGCTCCTGCCTTATATTCTCTCTAGTGTTGGAATTAAAAGCATGAACACTGTTTCTCTATTAGACTGATTCACTCTCACCTAGCCTAGGGTGGCCTTAAACTCACATAGATCCATCTGCCTCTGTCTCTTGAGTGCTGGAGTTAAAGATGTGTCCACCGCTGCCTGTCCTCTATGACTATCTAGTGGCTCAGTGTGTGTGTGGTTAGATAATGGCTTATCCTGGCATTCTAATATTCAGGAAAGCTTTATTTGTTAGATTACAAACAATATATCACTACACCCTATTGATGTGGCCTTCACACATTTAGCAGTTGATTCTCTGTGAGATGCTTGTTACAATGCTAGGGTGGTAGTGGCTAAAATACTTAGTTACTCTTACTCCATCAAGCACTAACATCCTTGGATTCCACCAGAACAGCTAGATTCCCCCAGCTCTAAGTTCTTGAAATTTAACTATTTCTGCTTTTGTTACAAATGGGTTGGTATATCCCTGATTTTAAACTCTACTATACATCTATAGTAATAGAAACTACATAGTGCTGGCATTAAAACAGACATGTGTATCAGTGGAATCAAACTGAAGACCCAGATGTAAACTTACAACCTATGGACACCTGATTTTCAACAAAAAAGTTAAAATTATACAATGGAAAAAATAACATCTTCAACAAATGGGGCTGATCTAACTGGATGTTGGCATATAGAAATATGAAAATTGATCCATATTTATCACTCTGCACAAAACTCAAGTACAAGTGAGTCAGAGACATCAACATAAATGCAGATATACTGAACTTGAAGAGAAAAGTGGGAAATAATCTCAAATGCATTGGCACAAGAGACAACTTCCTGCACAGAGCACCAATAGTACAGGCACTAAGACTGACAATTAATAAATGAGACCTCATGAATTGAAAAGTTTCTGTAAGGCAAAGGACACCACTGATAGGACAAAATGGCAGCCTACAGATTGGGAAAAAATCTTCTACCAAACATCTGAAAGAGGGCTGATTTCCAAAATATATAAAGAACTCAAGAAACTAGATACCAACAAACCAAGTTAAATAATCCAATTAAAAGTGGGGTACAGATTTAAACAGAGAATTCTCAACAGAAGAATCTCAAATAGCCAAGAAACCCTTAAAGAAGTGTTTAACATCCTTAGGAATCATGGAAATGCAGATCAAAAATGACTCTGAGATTCCATCTTACACCTGTCAGAATGGCTAAAATCAAAAACACAAGTGACAGATCATTCTGGAGAAGATGTGGAACAAGGGGAACACTCCTCTTTTGCTGGTGGGAGTGCAAACTTGCACAGACACTTTGGAAGTCTGTGGAGTTTCCTAAGAAAACTGGGGATTAACCTACCTCATACCCATGTATTCCACCATTGGGCATATATCCAAAGGATTGTCCAATATACCAAAGAGACACTTGCTCAACTATGTTCATAGCAGTTTTATTTGGAATAGCCAGAAACTGAAAATAACCTAGAAAATTTGAAGGCAAATGGATAAACTAAAAAAAAAATCAAACTGAGTGCGGTAACCTAGACTGATAAACAAACATGGTATGTACTCACTCATAAGTGGATATTAGTTGTAAAATCAAGGATAACAATGCTGCAATCCACACACACAGAGAGACCTGGTAACAAGGAAAGTTCATGGGGGTGGGGTGCCTTGATCTCACTGTGAAGGGGAAATAGAAGAGATTTCATCAGTGAACTCAGGGCAGATGGGGAAGAGAATATGAGCAATCAGGTTGAGGGGGCACAGAACGGAAGAATGCTCAGAGAGAATGCTGGGAGGGGCATTTCTGGGTCAGGTGAAAGTCTGGTGCAGGGGAATCTCCCAGAAGTCTATGGGGAGGCCCCAGCTTAGACTGCTAGCAATAGTGGATACGTAGCCTGAACTGGCTGTGTCCCAAGACCAGATTGGTGCCTAGCCCAATTGTCATCGGAGAAGTATCATCCAGCAACTGATGGAGGTAGATGTAGAGACCCATGGCCAAGCATTAGACAGAATTTGGAAATCCTGTGGAGGAGGAGGAGGAAAAGAAAGGAGTGTAGGAGCCAGAGGGGTCAAGGACACCATGGGAAGGCTCACACAATCAACTAACCTGTGTTCTTAGGGACTCCTAAAGACTGAACCAATAACCAGGAGACTGACTCTGCATATATGCTATGGTTGTGTAGCTTGGTCCTCTTATGGGACTCCTAACAGTGGGAACAGGGGCTGTCTTTGATTCTTTTAATGGTTTTTGGGACCTTGCTTCTCATACTGGGTCGCCTTGTCCAGCTTTAACACATAGGGAGGTGCTTAGTCTTACTGCAACTTGATATGCATGTGTTATTGATAATCATAGGAGGCTTGCCCTTTCTTGGAATGAGATTGAAAAGGAAGGGATTGGAGAGTAAGGGAAGATTAGGGGAGAGGGCCTGGGATAGGAAGGGTCAGGGAGACTGCAGCTGGGATACAAAATAAATAGATGAATTTAAAAAATAAAAAAATGGATTGGTATTTTGTGCTAATTAAAGAAATTGTTTTTATTTACAAAAGAGGCATCTACCATGATGGTATGGTAGATTGGCATGGCTTTTTTCCTGTGTTCGATGAGTAAAATAAAAATTTAAGTTTTAAAGTAAAGGTTTCTAAATATACCATATATTGACATATTACTGTGGCATAAGTAAAATTTAAATCTAGAATTTTATTACTTATTATATTGTTCAAATATGAAATATACTTTGCTTTAAATTTAGAAGAAAAGTTACAGTCTACTGAACAGAATCTTGTTTGGGTTTCTGAATTTATTGTTTTCTTTTATAGAATTCTGAGGGTGCTCTCAAATTTCTCATAATTAACATGTAGGTTACATTTCAGACGTTTACCTCCCAAAACACCTGACAAAACTAAAATGAAATTGTAGCAACAAAATACTGTGAACTTCATTATATTCGTAATGAATCATTTATTTTTTTAGGACCACTTTTGTATCGCTGGTGATACACAGTTTTTCTCATCTTCGTTGACCTCAGTATTAGAAAATACAAATATAAAAAGAAAATTTAAAAAGCCTAATTCTATGCATACACATTACATGTTAAACATAAGAATATCATAGATGTTTTACCAAAATCCTGGGAGTTTAATGGAAGTTCTAGAGCAATTCTTAGAAGTCAGGTATGAGAAACAGCAGTAAGTCACCAGTCTCTACCCTTGTTTTTAAATTTATTTTGGGAAATATTCTCAACTACAGTGTAGTTTTTGTGATTATATTGAGACTGTATAAAACTAAATTAAGAGCCCAATATTATGATACCTTTGCAGATATGTAGAAAGAGAACTTTTTATTAGTCTGGAACCCTGTCTTTATAATGGCTTGTCATAACATTGTATGCTATTTGTGCTTCTGTAGGTGGAAACTGGAAGGTTTCAGTAATCACGAGTGACTTTCCAAATGCAGGGACCAGCTCACAGGTTTATATTGTATTGTATGGACAATGCAGAAGCTCAATGCCTATATATCTTTATGGAAGAGATGGTGCTCGGTTTCAGGATGGACGCAAAGACATCTTTACTGTAAGTCATGAAATGGAGTAAACCTATTCATGAAGTGATAGAGCAAGTGGGAGCTTTGGAATGAGTGTAGCTTGTCAATAGGCTCTTCCTATTTAACACCGTATATCTTGTAGATGATCAGAAATTTATGGCTGTCTTTGTTCTAGCAGATTTAACACAACTAAATCTACAACATGGAAAAAACAAAAGCTAGAGAGAAATACTTTATGTTTAATAGTCATTTTTTGTATTTGATCTTGGCCACACCAGGTTGGGATTGAGGTAGGCTATTTTTACTCTCATTCATGTCTTCCATGATAAGTCTCCCCAGTCCCATCAGAGTCCTGTAGCAGACTTCTTTCAGGACCCCATTCTCCTATTCGACCTCCATTCCCTGTGGATCTCATCAAACCTTGGTGTGGACCCTGATTTCCTCCTTCCTATGGACCCTTTCAGCACCCCTTCTTGTGGTGATATATTGCTTATGACTTATTGAAGCTTGCTGAGGATTCAGAAAGAAAAGTCAGCAGCAAGCTACAGAAGTCAGACAGTGGTGATAGACACCTTTATCCTAGGACTCAGGGTTAAGAGGCAGGAGGATCTTTAATAGTTCAGGACCACAATGACTACACAAAATTGATCCAGTTCTAAAAGAAACAACTCATACAAATATGATCTCAGCACCTAGGATCACATGCCTTTAATCCCAGAACTACAGAGGTAGATACAGGAATGATATGGTTGGGTAGAGAGAGGAATATATAAGGAGGAGGAGACAGGAAATGAATGAGACCTTTTGCTTCTGAGGTTTTGTGGAGACAGGACTGCCATTGCAGCTGGGTAGAGGTAAGATCTACTGGCTTGGCTGCCTGGCTTCTCTGATCTTCAGGTTGATGTTTGGACCCCAATATCAGTCTCTGGGGCTCTTATTTTTCATGTTACAGCTTCCCAGAGCGTATCTGTCCCTTTGTGTCAGTCTCAGATACCTGGATACACTTTTTACCTGGGGCCTTCACTGACCGTACTCGGCAGGGACTCAGGTAGGTGATTCACATTGTACATCATACCTTCCATTAGGATTTCCTTGTTCTCATCCTCAGCCTGGTAACACCCTGACTGTGGGTATCCCCACCCCATCTCAATTCTATCCACTGGAGACCAGCTCTTGCTTCAGACCCAGGGTCCCCCTGGCCCTTTCACTCCTATCTCTTCAGATTATTCTTTGCTTTTCTGCCACTTGTTTGTGGGATCCCCTCTTCCCACTGCACTCCCAACTCCCTGGGGACTCTACCTCTTGGTGTGGACAGGATCCCTTTAGCTCATCCCTGAACTGCCCCTTGGCTTTTCCTCCTAGCCTACTTCTATCTTCGGTGCTACCCAGAGAAAAGAAGGAAATGAACACCTGTCAATCAAAACATGAACTAGAATCACCTCAGTTGCCCCAAACCTGATATCTAGATTTTAGCATAAAACACAAATATTAACAGCAAGACATTGTCCCTCCTCCAAACCTCAGGCATCCCAGTACAGTAGGCCCTGAGCAAGGCACTATAGCTAAAGCCTCAGACAAAAACTTCAAAATAGCAATTATGATTATGTTCAAGGACTTTAAAGAAGATACAAGTGAATTACTTAATGAAGTTCGTGAAAGCACAGTGGAATGAAATGATGAAAACAGTTCAAGACATGAAAGTAGAAAGAGAATCACTGAAGAAAACTCAGACTAAAATAAAACTGAAGATGAAAAAAAATAGGCGATCAACAAAAACCTCAGAGGTAAGACTCACTGACACAGTACAAGAAATGGACGAGAGAATCTCTGACATCAAAGACAGAAGAAATGGGTACATCATCAAAGAAAATGTTAAATAAATAAAAAAAATCAGGTACCAAACACCGAGGAAATCACAGTATGGAAAGATCAAATATATGAATAATAGAAATAAAGGAATTAGAATAAACTTAGGATAAATGCACAGAAGATGTTTAAGAACCAAACAAACTCATAGAACAAAAATTTCCAACCCTAAAGAGGTGCCTAAAAAGTTCCAAGAAGCATACACCAAATAGACATAATCAGGAAAGAAATTCTCCATGGCATGTAATAATCAAAACAGTAAGTATATACAGCAAAAAAATATTAAAGGCTATAAGGGAAAAAGACCAAGTAATATAAAGTAATATAAAGACAAATCCATTAGATAGCACCTGATTTCTCAGTAGAGACTCTAAAAGCCAGAAAGTCCTGGACTGATGGACTCCAAAAGATCAAAGATGCCAGCCCAGACCATCAATCACAATATACAAAGAAAAATATTCCACAGTAAAACAAAATTTGAGAAGTATCTATCAGATGTGTAAAAATATACTTCTGTTCTATGCTTCTGTTAGTTGCTTTGTTTTTAAATTATGAATTCAATCTTCTGTTATAGGCCTTTTGTCTTGTTGATTGTATAAGTTTGATGGCTTGTGTGTTTCTATAAATTTTCTAGTAAATTTAGCTTTTAATAAATTTAATTCCTAGTATATTTAATTTGTTGACATTATGTACAATATTTTTATAATTATATGCTGGATTTTTATAACCCTTTTTATTTTGTGAAGTTTTTACACAAAGTCTTATATTAAATTTCTGGTTTTGCCAATTTAAATCTTTCTCTTTTCTTAATAGTTGGAATAGCCAAAGAACTGTAAATTCTGTTGATAATTTTTCTGAAGAATTGCCTTTGTTTGATAGATTATTTTGTTTTTCTAATATGTATTCATCATGTTAATTTTTATTATTACCTTCCCTTTGCTAGATTAAGGTTTAATTTACCCACAACTTTCTCTTAAGGTAGAAAGTTAGGCTATGCATTTAAGGTGTCCTTTATATATGTGGTAACAGTTATGAATTTCCTTCTGAACTTGACTCACACTACTGTCCATATGTTGTGTTTTGGTTTAGTTTATCTCCTTATATTTTATAATTACTGTGGAATTTCTTATACTAACAAATGTGTATTCTTGGGAAGATTATGTATGTGTTGTTGAACGAATGTTGGATAGATCTTAGACCAAGCTGGTATTCTCAACTTCCTTCTGATTCTGTTTATTTTATCTATTATTTAAGCAATATCTCTACAGTTTATTATAGTCGAGTGTGCGTTTCTTTACATAATCTTGTTAAATTTTGCTTCAGTGGGATAGTGACACAGCATGTTCTCAGCATATGTGGGGCTCTGGGTTCAATTGATAGCACCACATTTTTGGCTTTGTATGTTTCAGTGCTCTGTGTTTGGTGTTCATGTTTCTCATTCTGATGTCCTTATAAGTTGATTTCTTTATCAGTATGCAATGCTCTTGTCTGGAATGTATTGAAAAGTATAACTAAAACATATTTTGTTGACTCTTTTCTTAGATCACGGTTGGGGATATAGGAAAGCCATTTAAGATTCGTATTGGCCACACTAATTCTGGATGCTCCCCTTCTTGGCACTGTAAGGGGGTAAGGATAGTATTTCATTCTTATTTTACACAAATCTCTACAAATAACCTCCAGGAATCTATTTCAGTGAGACATTTTGTAAGTGCTGTGAACCGATTGAGTCACTAAAGCTTTCCTTAGATCGCAGCATTGCTTGTCCTCAATAGTGAATTAGTTCTAACTGACTGAGGGAAAATGCTTCAACTAAGTAATATGTCTCCTTTCCTATAAAGAAAAGAGAATGCATGGGTACACTCGGAGTTCTGTATGTATTTGTATTACTGTTAAAGATCACAGTTAAAAGATGATGTTAAATGTTGAATGATGATTGCTGTGCAGCATCTGCTTCATAGAAGGTGTGAAGACAAATCCTCAGTAACATAGTAACCTGTTAGGCTTGGATTCCAGGACACATATGCTAATCAGTGGAAAACCGTTTAGGTTTTTTTGTTTATTTGTTTTTAAGATGCAAACCTCTTAATTTTTTTCTATACTGCTTAAAATGAAAATTTCTGCTTATTTCCATTATTAGATGCAAATGTGATCTCCTGACTACATCCCTCATTTCCAGTTTTATGCTTTGGTGAATGGTGTATTTACTGCTGCAATCATTAAAAATTCAGGATCTTTAAGTAAAATTTTCAAGAAGCAATGATAATTGGATCCAATTCCCAGTATTCATGGTGTGGAAATTTGAATGGAAATGGCCCTCATAGTTTCATGTATTTGATACCTTTGTATCCAGTTGTTGGATCTGTTTTGGAATGATTAGGAGATCTGGTTTTGTTTGAGGAGGTGTGTTATTACTGATGGAATTGAGGTTTCAGAAGGTCGTCCCATTCCCAGTATTTCCTGTCTCTGCTTCCTGCTCATGGCTAAGGATAGGATATTTCATGTTCTTGGCATCAGCCCTTTGCTCTGCCATCTTGGATGCTAGCCCTCTGAAACTATAATCCAATTGTATACTTTCTTTTATAAATTGCTTTTTCCATGGTGTTTTATTGCAGAAATAGAAAATTAACTGCATTAGAAATTTGGTTCCAAGAAGTGGGTAGTTGCTGTGACTGACCTGATAATGTGACTTTTGGGAGGAACATGGAAAAATTTGGGACTTGGCCTAGGAAAGTTATTGAATGCTGTAAGTGGGAATTAATGGGCCATTATAGTAGGAACCTGGAAGACAGTACTGCTGCTAGCTGTGTTGACTGTAGACTCTCAGCATGAGAAGTTTCAGAAGGGAAGAATATTAACAACTGGGTTAGGGACCCTCCTTATGATATTTGGGCAAACAGTGTACCTGTTTTTTGTCCTTGTCCTAAGAAATTGCCCGAAAAGCAATGAACTAATGTCTATAGCAAAAGAGAATTTAAGACAGCCTAATATTGACTCTGTTGCATGGTTGTTAGTAATCACTGATGGAGGGGTCTACAATGAAAAGGCAGGCAGGGAAAAAAGAAATACAAAACATACAATTAAAAGAGTAAAACGAACACCAGGAGATTTATTGTTGGAGTCAAGGTTTATACTGAAAGAAATAATGAGATTGAGGAAAGCCCAATCTGCAAAGAAATAAAGGGAGAGATACACTCAGGACAAGATGCCATCACCCAGCTAGATTTCCAACCAGTGAAAGGAAAAGCCTATAGAATTTTCTGCTCCTAAAAAATAGAACATATGAAAGGCGCTATAAATTATTTAAAGGAAGCCAGGCTCCATTGCAAGGAGACTGCCAAACTTGGCAGTGTTGTCCATCTGGTTTTGGATTTAGAGTCATTAAGGATACAGTAGTAAAGGGGCTGTCGAATATTCCTCTGCAGTTAAGGAGAGCTGCTGAGGACAGGGGATATGCAGCAGAATAGTCTGCATGAAGGCTCTGAAAGGGCAAGAAACCCTGAAGGACTGTTGAAGTGAAGTCTGGATTGCATTGGCGAACCCAAAATATTAGAGGTGCCAAGGAAAAATATTTGCCAAGGAAAGCTGCATATGGGACATGGAACCAGCCTAAGAGAAAGGAGTGCGTTATGGATAAGAAAGCTAAGCCCTTTAACATTGGAAATAAAAGCTCCAGTGAGGATCAGGTCTCAAAGAAGGAGGTGTGGAGTCATCGAAGGGAAGGAGGAGACTGACAGGATCTGAGGGTGAATCAGGATAGCTCCGCCTTTCATACTCTAAAATTTCACAAAGATTTAGAAAGGGGGCTTGTGAGATGGGGTGTGGCTTGTGAGCAGGGCTGAGGAAGCTAGCATTGACCTTGACACAGTTATAGGCACCACAGTCACATGTTAATGGAAGGGCCACGATTTCCTTTTGCCAGAGATGAGAAGGGTGACTCCCTTTTTAGCAAGAAGGAAATTTCTTCAGTCCCCTGAGGGAAAGGGGCTTTTTGTCTAAATGGCTGACCTTGGGAAAAGGACTTTCTTGGGAGATCAGGCATTCCATTACAGACTATTGCAAGACTTTTTTTTGGGGGGGGGGGAGGTATGGCTTAGTTTATCCAAATAGCTAAAACTTAAGAGAACAAAAATGAAGTAACGCAAATATCACTGTGAACATGTGTAGACCTTGGGAAATTAAAAATCTTGATTATCAAATATACCTTATTTGTCAAGCATATGTCACTTACTTAAATTTTCTAGCAGCTTGTTGTTAACTTGCTTTGTAGAAGTAGGCAGAATTATCATGCTATATGGTTTCAGAGTGGTGGGGATTTTTCCCAAAAATTATTTTGTCTAAAGAGGGTGACATTTTACACATTTTCATCCTTTAAACCCTACACAAAAATTCCCAGAGGATAAGCTACAAGGAAACACCCAAAACACAGTGAGAATCATTAAAAATGAAAGTCAAGGAATGCTGGAGAATTATTATCTGCAAGGCTGAATTGTTAGAACTTTGTTAAGCAGCAATGGTTGTCATGTGGTCCATGCCAATTTGTAGTTTACCCTGCTGGGTTTTGGAGTGGTAAAACATATTATGTGTCTTGTTTGTTGGAAGTATGGAATTTGCTTTTAGATTTTATAGGGGTTTGCAACTAAGACATCTTAAGTCTCAAAATAGACTTTAGACCTTTAAACAGAGTCAAGACTATAATAGGGGGTATTCTGCCTCTAAGTGTGGGCCTGGATTATGTCTTTCTTGTGGACCCTCTCAGCTTTCTTTCTTAGCCCATCTCCATTCAGATACCCACAGGAACCCCCAGCGGCCACACTTAGCTGGTTCTCACTGTCCTCTATTACAGCCTCCCTAGCCTGATCCTCGGCCCTGTAGCAGCCTGCTTGCAGGTGCCCATATACTATAGGGTCTGCAACTTGGTGCCCCTACCAGCTCATCCCTGTATCTCCAAATATAATCTTTGTCCTATTGCAGCCCACTTCCAGGAAGCCCCTTCTCCCCACAATTTCAACTCAATGGGACCCCAGATCTTTGTGTTCACAGGACATCTCTAGCTCTTTCCTATAGCCTCTCCTAACTTTTTTTCATAGCCCATTTCTAATCCTTTCTGCCACCCACTAATATAAAGAAGTGCTCTTAAACAGGCAACCCATAGCAACCACAACTTCCCAGTATCAAGAGGAGGCAACAACAATAGAAAAATAGAACATTCATCCAACAAAGACAATATTATATATTGATACATGGAGCCACCCAAGTTATCATAAACTTGGATGCCTGGATCCCACAAACATGAATAGGCAAAATAATGTGGCTCCATCAGAAACTGGTAACCCCTCTACATTAGGCCTGAAATATGCAATATAACCAACATGGAAGACTTTAAAATAGATATTAAAATATGTCCATGGACTGTGAAGAGGATAAAGCAAATCCCTTAATGAAGTCTGTTGAAAACATAAACAGTAGAGAACAATAATGAAAATAGTTCAAGACATGAATGTAGAAATAGAATAACCACAAAAACTCAAGCTAAAATGAAGCTGAAAATGAAAAAATTCAGATATTAAACAAAAAAATCTCAGAGGTCAGGCTCAACTAAAGAGTATGACATGGGAGAGAAAGTTTCTGACATTGAAGACAAGATAGAATAAATATATAAGCCAATAAGAGAAAATGTTAAATCTAGACAAATCCAGGTGCTTTACATACAGAAAATCTGGGACACCGTGAAAAGACTAAATCTATGAATATTAGGAATAGAGAAAGGAAAAAAAATCACAGGTCAAAAGCACAAAAATATTTTCAACAAAATCACAAAGGAAAAATTTCCCAACCTAAAGAAGGTAGTGCTAATTAAGGTTCTAGAAGCATACAGAACATCAAATATACTGGACCAGGAAGGAAATTTCCCAAGTCACATAATAATCAAAACACTAAAAATATGGACCAAAAAAGATATTAAATGCTGCAAAGGAAAAAAAACAAGAAAGATATAAATATAACACCAGACTTCTCAATGGAGACCCTAAAATACAGAAAGGTCTGGATGTATATGCTAAAAACTCCGAGATACCACAGACCCCAGCCCAGAGTACCATACCCAGAAAAATTATCAATTACAATAGATGGATAAAGAAACACAAAATATACATAGTTTCAATCTACAAATCCAGCTCTACAGAAGACACTAGAAGGAAAACTTCAGTCTGGAGAGGTTAACTACAACCAAGACGACACAAGGAATAAATAACCCAGAATAATAATTCAAAAGAAGAAGAAAAGTCCAACCCCATTACAAAAAATATCAGGAGTCAATAAACACTACTTATTAATAACTATTAATAGACACAAAGCACAGACTAATAAATTGGATTTGAAAACAGGATCCATCATTCTGTTGTATTCAGGAACCACTTTATTCCATCAAGGGTAGACATTACTGAAAGTCTTTTAAGGTGTGCCTGCGTGTGTGCGTGTGGCCAGGCTCTGATCCTGAGGACCAGCTTCTACCCACAGAATACTTTAAGAGCTGTAATGGCCAGATTCTACCCTCCCACACCCCCCCATCCAGATGCAAACAGCCAAGCTGCACCCTACTGAGAAAAAACCCCTGGCTCAGGACTTGA